CAAGGTTAACATACAAGTTACGCTTCCTTCTCATGGAAAGGCTGGTGTAATTCCATGTTTATGCAACTGCGTACACTCGGTTTCTGCGTCTGGGCAAATTAAACTTAATCCTCTTTGTGGCAAGGGAAGTTGAAACCCTTATAGTTTCAGCGTCTTATACAGGGTAAAGGTCGTTAGAAGACGGCCGGCCAATTAGAAGCCTTCTCCTGTCGCTCCCCTGCAAGAGTACTTGCTCAAACCGCGGCTGATTGACGTTTATTACCTTGACCACTAACCACGAACTGTCTCATACAGGGGAGGGTTTAATTATTGATCTTTTACTTTACCAAACGTAACTATTCAATCAGAGAAAAGCAAAGCTTTCTCAATACTGAGTGAGTAGTAATGAACGTCTTAATCGTTAACTTCTGGTTTTCGGGGTTTATTACCGCGCATATGAAAACTTTGCTTTGCTTTTATTTAAAATAAATGACCAAAAATATTAACAACAGCAGAATCAGATTATTTTTTAGCATTATCAGTTTAATATTCTTTCATATATGGCGCTCTATATGGTTTTTTATTATACGGTTTTTTAAGGTATTTGTTCAATTTTACGCCAGGATAACTTTGGAAAACAACAGCATTGAACCCGTATGTAGCCGATTTGGCTTGTCACAATGCTTAGTACTAGGTATGTACTTCCGGTTCTAATAAACGGAAAATACCAAAAACCAGAAACGCGCATGGCAGGCCAACCAGTAAGGGTGATCATGCCAAAATTAAACGACCAAATTTTATCATTTTAACAGGCTAATTCTTTCAAATGGTCGATACAGGCTTTTTTCAAAGAACCTGTCCATGTTTCCCCCAAAATATATGGTTCAAAATACAATATTGATCTGAATCTGGCTTTTAACTTTCCATCTTGGTCTTTCTATGCGTATATGTACACTAAAATGATCGACCAGGCAATGGACCATCAACCAGCAGACCCCAAGAGGAAAATTCACATTTTTTCTGTATTTCGTTTAATCTAAAAAAAATATAAGAAAAAAGGTAGGCTTGTTAATTATGTCGTCTTAATGATCGTGTCAATCTGAGGTTAGTGGCTTAAGAAGTTATGTAAAAATTCCTCTCAACTAAACATAAGACTATCAAAAACAGATATTTACAACTATTGCACTAAAATCCTTTCTAATACTGACACAAAAGTACTTGATTATGAAAAAGATAGTTTAAATGTTAATTTAAAAAACTCAAATCACCCAATTTTGAATTCATAAAAAAAAAATTATAGGAACATTCACGTTTATGAGCCCAATCATAAAGTGTTACCTATAATTTCAATTCGTTTTATACCCTAAACCTTAACCATAAAACGTAAACATACCAAAGTTGACAAGACACAAAACTACATAAAGTAATATGTAAACTACAAAATAGTTCAACAAAAAACTTGATCTTCATCCATAAACACTCAATGTTAGAGAAAATTTAATATTTAAGCAAACTTATCTTTCGCCTTAAAATTTGTTAAGTTCATGTCAGGATGAAAGATTATATTAAATAGTACATTATAATCTATAATTTTTTTATTCATTGTAATCTATATCTTGTTATCACTGATATTAGTCTTCAATGTTATAACTTTATATTTCATGGGAAGCAACGGACCAAAAAATTCATTTATTTTTCAAACATATTTTCATGTCAAACTATATCTTATATGTACAAAATGAAAAGGTCTCATGAAATTCTCTAACTTTAAAGTGCTTCAAATAATTTTTTGAACGTTGAGGATCAAGTATATCTATCTTTGATGAACTATCCCTCATGCTGTTCGAAGGCACTTGCCTTTTATCCATATTCTATGTAAACTGCCTTTCCAAATAAAATAAATGTCTGCTGGAAGAGGAATGGGTGTGTAATGTTCTTATGATGTGAATTGGGCAGCAAAGAGAAAATTCGAGCTCGATCAGAAAATCGCTTCATTTGAAAACTTGTATTTTTTCACTTTGGGTTCATTTTGAGCAAAGGAATTTAGAACGGTCGAGCTAAATGAAAAATCGTTTGCACCGTTGACATAAATGGCAAAAATATTGATGGATATGTTGCTAATTGAAAAAATGAAGCCCCATTCGTATCTATCCTGGAAAGTTATCAAAAATGTTGACCCATCTGAAACTCAACAAAAAAATAAACGCTTGATTTCTGGAGTTTTTCCCGAAAACGCCATAATAAAAAATATAGGGGGAATAGAAGTTATTATCAGCCAGTATATTTGGGAGAATCAGGTTCTTAATTTTTTATTTATTCATACTTATTAATGAGTTCTTAGTTTCTTATCTTAACTGATTAGTTTGTATCCATAAACAATGATAGTTTGTTATACTCCAACACTTAGATTTTTTTTTAAATCGCCAAATAAACCCACACAATTTTTTAACTACGAATCGATTTCTCACTTGGTAATTTTCTTGACAATTTATTTACTTAATGTTTGGCTTGTTGTTTTAATTTTTTAAATGCGAGAAGTAAAATACAATTGTGAAATCTAGACGTTTAAAAGGACAATTGTTACGACGACTGTTTTCTTTTATGGAAGGATATGCAAACTTTGTATTTTCTTCTCCCTGGATTTTCGAAGAAACGGCCAGAAGTTGGCACCGCCAACTTTAGCATAAAAAGCTCTTTTTGTCTAATTTGCATAATCTCGTAACACCATTATTAAAATGAAAGCCGTGGCCGGGGGGAAGAAAGCGTCCACGACGCGCGCGCCTGTCAATTTTAAAAAGATTTTAAAGTTTAAAGAGATTTTATAAGAACCATTTAATCCATTTTTTTAAATACGCCGTTCACAACACTGAGAAGATAAGAACAAAGAAACACCTGCATTGTCACCCGGTGAATCATTGTTTTACTAAAGATAATCTTGTTATAGTAATAACAAGTGTTAGTAAACACCAGATAATTTTAGATTAAGATTAAAAGATTAAAATAGTTTATTCTTCTTAGATTTAGTTTCAATACGGCCCAATAGTTAAATTCTCAGCTGAAATACCTCATCCGGTCTTTGACCATTAATCAGTCCCATGTGTTGCAAAACAAATTGGCCTACTTTGTAAATTAACGCCCACTCCGATTTGTTAGCGACCGCGAACAATTTGCTTGTGGCTCTTGCACCAGCTGCCCTTCGACCACTTACATTTAAAAAAATCGCCTAAATTTACAACGAATACATTTTGTTGCTCCTGGGAAATTAATTTGGTCGACATCTTTTTGGAAAACCTTTATTGCTAATAGATATACTAAATTTACTATCATAACACTTATATAGTAAAACACGATGAAGGGTGAGGCAAATGTACAGAAAACACTCAGGTCCTACGAAGGCGTTTCAAGGAAGTAAGACAACCAAATATTATGAAAGATCGACAAAGGAACTGAATGTTTTCTTTCTGATAGGCCTCATCCCTCGTCACTTTTTAAAATATAATTCGAATTTAAAATGTTAGTCATTTGTTATATAAAAGGTAATATCGTACCAATGCGGCGGGGAAAAGTAGTCTAAAATATATAATTTTTAGTAATAAACAATGTTGGTATTCGTTTTATACTCCCTGAAAACCCACTAAATACAAATTTTTGTGGTAAAATTTTTTATACCTTCTTTTCCTTTTTTCGCAAATCATAAAAATTTTGATAACTTTTAAACAACTACACGAATCAACTGGAAAGTTACAAGAGAAGAAGCGTTTTAAATGCATGTCTTTGTATCAAATTATAACACATAAACCGTAAGTAAAATAGAATTCGTAATATAAAATTATAAAAATTTGAATGGTTTTTTATGTCTTTATCCATTAGTTTTCTCTCTCATAATAGTTTGAAATCAACTTAAATAATACCTAGGCTAATCCATCCCAAAAATGTACTGTTTTGCTTGGCATAAACATTCGCATTTTTGGGCTATCAAGATTGGATTAAACGAATCCGATTTTATTATTTTTTATATAGTTATTTATTATGTAGTAGTATTATTATTTAGTATATTTTTTATAGTTATGTTGGAAGCTTCTTTTGGTTTTTGTAACTTTTTATACAACTAATCTCGTTTTATACGATCATTTACAATATTTTCTTATCCTAAATAAAAATAGAAGGTATGAAATAACATGTTTTAAATTAAAAAAGAATTTAAATGTCTCGGTTTTTAGGGCTCCTTGACAAGAAAGATCGTACACGTGCCTAATATTTTTCGACCTAGCATCACCCAAATCGGTGATTTCATGTACATAGCCTCCCCTTGTTAGCAAATTTAGATGAATATGGTAAGCTTTTAACATTTGTTCGTTTGTACGTTTGTTGTTGTTTTCTGTCTGTTTCATCGCACGACACCGTTGCAAGTTTGATTGTTTATGTCAGTAGTGTGATTTTTGTTTTTAAAATTTTGTTGGCTTGTTAGTTTGTATTAGTAGTGTTTTTCTGCTAGTTTTTGCATAATTTTCTACCTTTCATATTTTTTCTGCATTTTTTGTTAGTTGTGTTGAGCACTATTAGTGTTTTTGGTATGAGTTGTTTCAGTTCAATTTGAGCTGTCTTTCATTTCTTGTTGTGTAACATTTTGAGTTTGTGTAACATTTGTGCTATAAGTTTGTTTCAAAATGATATATTTTTTAATCTGAGAGAATTTCGTAGTTTTGTCATTTTCTTTCCTTTTGTCATCTTACCATTGTACCATTTTGGGTTTCACGATAATTCGTTATTATTTTCCGGCAGTTTGGTACACTCCAATTAACCTGCTAGTTCTTGCGGGATATGTCTGTTAAAAGCATATTGATTGGTAAGTGTTTTTACTGTTATGCTTTTTTGCGAGTATTTTTTCACTTAAATAAGTCAAAGGGTGAAAGTAGTGAGTCGTCCAGGGTTCTTTGTCCGGTGGTGTCTTTTTTAAGAACTATAAAATGTATGTATTTCTTGTGTTTTATTGAAGTTGGATTTTGTCTAAAGATGGTAGCAGTTTAAAAAGCGTTTGGCTTATCATCATTATCAAACACGGCAACGATAGGCAGGCCAAGGTAGACCAACATGATCGGCAACAACCAAATTTCAAAAACAACCTCGCAGTGATCAAGACGACACTTCACAACGAGTAAGATATCTAGCGTTGTCCTTTCCCGGACCTTTTATTATTGTTTCACAAAATGATAGAGTACATTAGGTTTTTTACCTAAACAAAATATAACATCCTAATGATCCTTGAAAGATGAAAGTGATGAAAGAAAGAAATGAAAATAAACGAAAGTAAGTGTTGGATATGAGTTTGTACAGTACATTTTCTGGTATATATTTTATATACTTTTGGTGTATGTTTATGGGGTGTATTTTTTTTTTAGAGAATATACATGTGCTTTCCGGTAACGTAATAAGTTAAGTAGTTTTGTATAAATTCTGCAGAATTGTACATAAAATGGTCAGATTCTTAATAGCACAACCTTTATAGAAAACTAATATTGAATCAAATAAAATTAAAATGTTTGACCCTGAAAAACTACAATTTTGATTTTTTAATAGTAATCAAGTGACTCAAGAACTTTATCTATGACGTAACGATGAAATTTGGATTCTTTTGTACCCCTTCCCCATTTAACTGACATGTATTTGGCTAATTAATGCTTCACTTGTAGTAATATCTGTTATTGTACAGTATCAAGCCAATTAGCTGCAATGCCGACAAAGAATGGAGCAGTAAATAACAGGTGTATCGTAATTATTGAAAGAAGTAAGTCACCCTTTTAGAGCCATTCGGTTCAATAATTCGTTTTGACCCTATTGGTCTATAATTATTTTGATTATTAGTGGGCGAGCCGTGCTACCTCAGGTTTCACTACGACGACACACACAGCTGGGAATCATCGGCTATGAGAGTGATCATGGAAAGAATGTACAACCGTGAGCATGGACTTTACGAGCTCTTTAACGAAAATTAAGTTTTTATTTTGTCATCATTGAAAAGGATTAGATTAAATGTACAATCCAATTGCAAATAAATGAAAATATGTTAAATCAATTATTATAATTATTTTATTTATAATTTCACACACACTCCCCAGTATACCAACCCATATTGAATTTGAGATTACATAAGGGCTTAAATTTTTTTAGGTAGAAAGGAAGTATTGCATTTATTATGTAGAAAGTAAATAAATTTTAAACCATGTGAAGTCTATTTTGTACTAAATTAATATGAAAATGCGATTCTATACGATCAATGATGAAGGCTAGATATTAAATTTCATGGACTTGGCCCACCTTAAGAGGAATTTCACCGTTTGCAGAAAAGAAATACGGTCACTCAGTGCTTATATATTTTTCGATTAAGCGTGTTGGTTAAAATAAAAGTTGTCCATAAGGGAAGGCAAATTAGAAAAGATTATTATTTTTATTATGAAAGATTACCGGCTTAGGATGATCACCACTCTTTTATATTTTTTCTTTTATTTTCTATGACTTAAATAACATTCTTGTTTTTTAATTTTATCTTTAAAATCAACTATTATGAATGTTAGTGATTTGAACTAATCCCTTTCAAGTTGCTTTGCTGATTGACTATAACTTAATGTATTTATTAAGGTTATATGTTATTCAATCGTTTTTATTACAGCTATTAGATACAGCTATTAGGCTTCCATTCCTAACATGCCGTGCTTGCGTCCGCGCTATCCTGTGCTATTATCAACGCAGTTTTTTATTTTCTAATGACAATTTTTTGGTTTTCTATTTATATGTATCTAAATATGCATATGAAGATCATTTAAATGAAAGAAAAATGTACACTCTGCATGTTAGAGTAAAAAAAATTAAGAAATAAAGTTTTTATCTTTGAAAGACTGGCTATTTGGCAAACAGAAGAAAAAATGTTGAGACATCACGAACAGGTATCAAAAAATTTTTGAAACAATGCCAAATTAAAGAAAAGATAAAAAAACGAATTTACCCCTTTGCTCCCTGGAAGAATAAAGGGAGTAGTTCATAACAACAATTAAAAGGCTTTATGTTCGTAAATATATCATAAATATTTGTATGGTTAGTAAATATATAGGATAAAGTTGATTCTATTGCACAAAACAATAAATATCAGAAAAAAAGAACATAGTATTAATAAAAATCTTCATTTACTAAAGATGATGATCCTAATCATGAAGAAAAAAAGAAAAAAATTGAAAGAAATGAGGAAGTATGTTACCAATTAGTAATAAGGTCATATACCAGTTCCTAACCATATAATAAGAAGTGCATTATTTGGCGTTGTTGCTAAAGGTAACAGAAAATTGGAAATAAGTGTCTTAAAAGCCACGATTAATGGCTATGAAGTAAAATAAACCGGAGAACAATTAGAAACTTATGAAGAAATTAAGACGCCTTAAAGCATCTATTACATAGAAGTTTGTGGAAACAATAGAAGTTAAGTTTTAAGTCAGTGTGAATAGATTTCCGGAGATTAAAACCCATGTACTTGGATTTACTATTAAGCGATAATAGATTATTAACAAACCTTTACGTCGCATGTCTCATTGCGTCTGTATTTCCACATCCTTCAACGATTTGCCTGAATAATGAGCAGAGATATCATCTGCGTAAGCAGTTAATTAAGAAAAGGCGTCCTAACACAGAACCTTGTGAAAATCCATTGTCTTTTTTTATTTGTGCTCAGGCTGCTTTCAGTACGCACCCACTCATTCGTTCTGAAAGCTACGACTGGAACCATTCCAATGCAACAACCTAATATTTATGAATTATTTAACTTTTGAATTCAAATTTCATGATCTAGGATGTCCAAAGCTTTTGTAACATCTGTAAGCCATCCACCAATCTTCGTACCATTGTTCAAATCATTAAATACCATTGTCAAAAAAAAGACAACCGCATTATCTGTGCTTTTTGGTTGTTGACAGCCAAATTGCCAGTTTACCCAAGAGACCAAAACATGTGGTCTAAACTTTGTTTTTAATGTCACAGTAATCCGTAATTTAGGATCCACAATATTTTTTAAAATGTGTTCTAACAAGTTTGGGTTCATTTGAAAAACTAGTTTTTTATTTTTTTTAAATGACACGAAGAAGAATTAGATTGGTTGCGTATTTCTGTAGATTCATTCAGAGTCTAGGGAGTATTTCATACATGGTAGATAACATAATTAAATAAATTTTTCACTATTCTTTTACCGTATAAATGTTCACAAAGGTGTTCCTATTTCTTATCGTCTAGCCTACTTTTGGCTTTTGATTTCAGAAATCAGTAAAAATGTACTAATGTAATATTAATGATTTTCCTTATCTTTGATCTCTACAGACTAAAAACAGACTTATTTGTTTAACAGCCTTTCGAGTAAAGAAAAATTTAAATGGTGTGTAAACCTTCTGCTTAATTATCTATTATCTTGTTTAAAAATAAAAAAATAAAACTTTGTTTCCTGTTGACAAATTATCTGACAGAAATTGGCATTTATTGTTAGCAATGCTGATTAAAACAATTGTTCACGTCCACTTTCGCTATATATATTGCTCAAAATAGGAAAATATCGAGAAGCCGACATACAACTATTCATATAACACCTGAAAACTTTGTGATCGTCGTGTTCTTTAATATTATAATTATGTATTAAAAATTCAGGGTTATGGCCAATTTGAGAGAATGGAAAACACTCAGTTCTTTCATTAAGCGTTCGACGAATATATCCCCTTCTTCCGGACTGAAACTATTATCATACTCTTGCGAATTAATCATAATGTCAAAGTTATCATAATGTAATATATTTTTCGAAAGCTTGACGAAAGAACTGAGTGTTTTCGTTTCTATCGAATTGCCCTCATAATATTCGGGAGATCGAGTGAAAAGTTCAAAGTATTGTAGTTTTTATAGTTTTGATGTAGCCTTTGATTATTTCTGCTAAAAGAAATCTAGCAACGGATGGAAAAAAATGGCAATACTTCAAAATTATTCCTTCAGTGGGAGGAGTCTGGTCTTGCTGCCTCCAACTTCTAAGAACTGTAAGAATAGGCCAAGTTCATAAATGATTCAATAGCGAGGCTGAAAGTTGGGGCGAAGGCGGCTTGCTTTTCTCGAGAGGCAAAGCCGCGAGTCTGTAACTAGCGAGTTAACGAATTAACCTCATAGCCGATGAGGGCAAAGTGTGTGAAAGTATACAAGAAGTGTTTGAGAACGTGTCAAGATTACCAGAGGAGCGACATAGCACGGGAGGATAAGGAGTTGTTCCAACTGAAGGCTTAACAGCCAGACTTCGTGAGAGTTAAGCAAGACGACGGGGGCTACGAGTAGGCCGAATAACTTTGTTTCTCCTGATAAAGTTTTTTCCTGTTTGAAGCCGTTTCGTCGTCTATGCTAGCCGCAACCACCAACGGTAAGGAATTAACTATTTACAATGAGCGGGAGGAGATTTAGGCTTGATATTAAAAAAAAAAACCTAGCTGGAAAACATATTGCATAATTTTGACAATAACCACAAAAAGAATCTAAAAGGCGATCAGCTAAACAATGATTACTGCAATATGAGAAATGCAGATTTTGTTAAACATAATATTAGAGTCATTGTTGAAAATAATTATTGAAACGTTGGCACGATAAAGAAAATGTTTTTCTGAAACCTACATCACACCGACCGCATCTCACGATTTCTGAATAATCATCGACTAACGGTCACTAATCACCACACATTAGAGAATAAGAAAGAAAAATGAATAGATTAACATACCAGAGAGAGAGAGAGAGAGAGAGAGAGAGAGAGAGAGAGAGAGAGAGAGAGAGAGAGAGAGAGAGAGAGAGAGAGAGAGAGAGAGAGAAAGATGGAGAATAGGTGAGGAGTTTTGATTTATCGCTTTATTTAATTATAAAAATTTAAGTGCCTAGGACCATTCTACCACATAACGTGAGATGGAAAGAGAAAGTGATTTAGAGAAACAAGGGGTGAGAGAGAGAGATAGAGAGATTAACACAGAGAGATAAAAAGGGAGAGAGAGAGAGAGCGAAATTGAGAGAAAAGAAAACGAGTACCATTGATCCATCTAATTTGGTGCCTTGTGGAGAAGTAAATATTTACTGTTGTTCGTTAGAAGACTTTTGACGGGGTGAGTATAGATTTAATGTATTGAAAGTACTTTTGCCAAAGAAAAACTGTTCAGTTTCAACATCTAGGATTAAAATATTTAATTTTTGAGCTAAAATTTTTATGTAGAGGAAACAATAGCCACTTGACATACATTTAGGGATTTTTAAGGGGGAAATTGATTGTTAACACGTCATGAACATAAATGTGTATGTGTGATTAGCATTGTTTCTGTCAGTTCTCAACGAAAAGTCAAGTGAAGCGGAATACAAAATGAAGCACCATGGCTAAATAATTGAACTCAACCAGGAAAGAAGGGGCCAAGGGAGGAAATGGCGTCGAGCAATGAATACTTATTGTAAATGACAACCACTTGGCCCGACAACTGTTCTATACATCACATATCAGATTAATGCAGAAGGGGCCTTCAGTTTGCGAAATATACTGGAGGCCATCGCCCTGAATTTAAATTCGCCCTCGCGACCCCCCCCCATTACTGCTATAAATCCGGGGATGGTTTTTCATCCCCTATTCCGGCTCCGCTATACCCTCCGCCTCTCGGCGATGTCGCCCGGTAAAAACACTAAATACATAGCCGGCGTGGGCGGTGATGTATCACCTTAAGCCATGTGTGGCTTAAAGCAAAAACACTTAACTGAAGCGTACTCTTTTTGTCCTTATGAATCGGGTGTAATTCTTGAGATATGGGTCAACTTCAATCCACATGTGTCAGATTATTGAGAATCTCCTTTCTGTTTTTTTCTGTTTTGTAAATCTGACTACACTTCATAAAAAATGGACTTGTTTTATTTTTTCATAAAGAAAACAGTAAAATATATTTAAAATCTTTTGTTTCCTTTGTCGTTCGAAACATCGAAGGAAGGTGGAGAAAAGTCAACTGAGGACTTCTCATGT